TAACAACCTGGCACCACTGGTGTTGGAAGTGCTTAATGGGGTGCTTAATGAATCAAGGCCATCTTGACTTGGGATTACAAAGCCGAGCAAAATCTTAAGTGTGTGAAAAAGGCTGACAATAAAAAAGAAAAACAAACACAAAAAAAACAAAAATTTACTGTCTAGTGTCAGGTTGATAAGATAAAAAAATATGTTGGCAAAATTATGTTTTACTTTCACCTCTGGAACTGTGAATCTTAGCATGACTGTTCTGCGGTTTTTTGTAATCTTTGCTGTATATATTTCAAACCTTGCAACTGCAAAAATTACACTCAGACTTTCATCAAGCTCCTTTTGCGTCTGTTTGTCACTCGCCGACTCCTTGTCCACCCTCTCGACGACCCTGTTCCCATCGGACTGAACTGCCCCGGTCTGGGCTGGTCCGTTGCAGGTGGTCCGTTGCAGAGAGAGAGAGAGAGAGAGAGAGAGGACAAATAAGGAATTCAAAGTGATATGAATCCTATTTGCCATTTCTGGATTAGGGCTCTTCTTGAGCTGCTATTTCATGAGACCGGGGGTTGGAGAGAGAAGTGGACTAGTGATTTCAACCTTGGGAGGCCAAGGTCTGCTTGATTTAGTCACGGGAAAAAGCCCGTGGGTGTCCATGCTTGTAAGTAAGCCCTCCCTGACATCCCAAGCTGTGTTAGGAAGCCCAAATAAATATCTTTACTCCCTAAACTGTAGTTTGGAGGAACATTGTATCAGTAGGTCACAAGGGAGCCATGTGTGTGCCTCCCAGCACTGAATGTTTACTGCAATAACAAACAGCACACAGCAATCAATAACTTTTATTACTGTGGGGCTTCAAGGGCCCCCATTACCAAAAATTTGCATGTAAGTTGTCCATCCCTGGTACTGTGATTTTTTTTACCCAAAATTTATGACTGACTCCCTTACTATCTGATCTCATTCACATCCTTTATTTGATGTCTGAATCTTTTAATTTGCCATTATATTGGTCAATATAACTTATCACTTGAATTTTAATTTTAGGTGGATTGTAAAGTTCTATGTTAAGATAATGGCTTGACTTAAACAGGTTTATGCACTTTGCCAGTAACTGATAATTGTGCACTTAAATTAATTTGTTCATTTTATTTTATCTTTTATATAAAATATTTAAAACATTAAATGTAGATATTACTAAATTTCAGAGAATTAGATTTCTGGTGGCCACTATTTCTGACTAGTAAAATGTCCTTTGCTACAGAATGTGATAATCATAACTAATGGTTTACTAAAAATGATCAAGAACAAATTCAATGAACCAGAAAACTGCTAAGTTACTGGAAAAGCATAGATTAAAATTGGAAATGAATTTAATCTGACAAAATAAATTACCCAAGTTGACCCAATATAATTACTATTATCCTTAATAAAGAGTCACGCAAAGGAAGTTGTGACTTTACAGGAAGCTATAAAACCTTAGTGGTTTGAATGTATAACAAGTAGACCACAAATCAAGTAACATGGTGGCCTCGAGGATGAATCTCTTCTAAAGCCTACATATAGAACCCAGCTCTACTAACTCCTTGATTACAACTCATTGAAAATCATATTTGATTTAAGACATTAAGAATTGTTTATAGCTTATAAACTGGCATTTCCTCTCTCTGTGTATCAAATGCAGTAAAATCTTACAGCACCAAGAGAAAACTAATATAATGTGTTTTTTAGTGTAAGAACCCACTCCTTATGCTACTCACTTGGAAACAGATCATGCATTCTGGCTCACATGTTTCATAAGGAATATTTATAATTCTGTTAGACTACAACAAAACCTTTCGAATGTGGAGAACAGAACTATGCTAGGGTCTAATAGAAATACTTGTTGTCAGGATTGCTATTCAACAATGATGATACCCGGACAGACTTTAGGGAGTAGAAATCCAAAGAAGGGTTAATCTTGAAGTGCAAAGGAAAACATTTCACCCAAGACTCCAATAGGAAGCCTGGTGTCTACCAAGATGATGCTTTCCTAGATATGATAACTTCTGCTTCTCCACTTCAACAGTATCTTCTAAAGATAGTGTTTGTTCATCAAAACTAAGTCTTTGTTATATATGTCTTATACATATGCATTCCTCACTCTGAGGATTGGGCTGGCTCATTCACTTCTATAATACCTATGCCTTGATACCTTTTGGTGCTTAATTCATGTACATTTTGTGAATTAATGAGTAGATGAATGAATGACATCGATAAACATGAATTTTCTACCACAGGGGCCACAGAAATCTGTTAGTCTGCATCTCCAAAACTTAGGGAAATATAAGGTCAGTTGGATAGTGAACATAAGTTTTATTCATATATGTACCATGTGATAACTTAATATGGTAAATCTTTTGGAAACTGAGTTCACTCCAAATATCATGTAATACTTCTAGAAATTCTGATCTCTGGATCTCATAGTCTACTCACCACTCCATAATCTTCTGTCCCTTCATATAAAACTTTTTTTCCATATTCCATATTCATCTTCTCCCTATATATGTATTCCTAGCCCACATCTTTCCTTTTATCCTATCTGCTATGAGAATCTTCACCACAGTTTAGTACATCTCTTTGTGTTGTCAAGAATTAAGCAAGCAAATTAGCAATATAGAGAATAAGACATAGCTATATTAAATGAATTTACCTAATTCTACCATCCTAGAAAATATAAGAAGAGTTGAGATTGCTTACGAATACAATGCAGAAAACCAGGTGATGAATGACGTGTAAAAACTGAAGTAAAACATTCATGGGTCATATACATCAAGGACCTAACTAATGCCTTTGTCAGCTTGAAATGAGGACTGTCACTTATTCAATGATCTATTTTGAATCATTTTGTTTTTTGTGGTGGGGGATAAAAGCTAAAAATTACATTCCTGGAAAGGATAAATGTGGAAATAATTCTCATCTACATTCTTTTATACCATCCCCAAACCAAATAAACATTTAAATTACTTCTTTTTTATTTTTCCATCCCTAAATTCCAATGGAAATAAAAATTTGTCATGTGAACTAAGATGTCATCCATAAATTTCTCTATGACTATTGGACAAGCCTGTAAGAGGCAGAGCGAGCGTCTCCCACCCCCACCCCCCATTGACACAGATAAGGTTTTTGTGGTGGGGGATAAAAGCTAAAAATTACATTCCTGGAAAGGATAAATGTGGAAATAATTCTCATCTACATTCTTTTATACCATCCCCAAACTAAATAAACATTTAAATTACTTCTTTTTTATTTTTCCATCCCTAAATTCCAATGGCAATAAAAATTTGTCACGTGAACTAAGATGTCAGCCATAAATTTCTCTATGACTCTATGACTATTGGACAAGCCTGAAAGAGGCAGAGCGAACTTCTCCCACCCCCACCCCCCATTGACACAGATAAGGCATTACCAGAACATATAATAATATTCTTGAGGCATTTATATATGTAGTACTTGAACCTACATAAGTCCCCTTATGTGCTTCAGCCAAGGGGTTTGTTATAAAAGACTAACAATTGTTAGTCATTTTAAGCAGAAAATAATTTAATTTATATAACTGGATATTTAAATACCATTGAAAAAGTCTAGAGAGGTAGAACTGAAGACACTCCAATTAAGCTCTGGGGCAGCTGATGCTATAGAAAGACTCTGTCTAAAGAAATAAATGAAAGAAAGAAATATTAAAAATGAAGTAAGTTTGATCAGGAAGATGGCACACACACATAAACACACACACACACACACACACACACACACACACACAAACACACAGAGAGGAAAATTATGGCGTTGGTTCTCTGCTTCCACTATGTAGGTCCTGGTGATCAAAGTCAGGTTGTCAGGCTTGGAGGCAAATGCCTTTACCTACAGAGTCACCTGGCCAGCCCCTGCTTTTTCATCATAACAACTCACATGAACAGAGCTTCATCTCTCTCTCTCCTGATAACCTGTTCTAGTCTTTATTACTGGAAAAAAACATCTCCAAATGTCTGATAAAATTTTAAGATACATATGACTTCATGAGATCTTAGAACTTTAGTTATGTAAACTCAAAATTCCTGAACATAAAACTACCATCCCAATGAACATGGAACCCATATATTTGTGGTCAGAATATTCAGAATGTTAAGTATGAACTGAGCTTGAATGATTCAGAAATAACAAGACAATGACCATTAAGAGACCTTAATTTTCATATCTGTTAAAACATAACTCTTTCTTGACATGTTTGGGAATAATTTATGGAGAACCTAGGGAAGACACATCAAACACCATAATTTTTACCTTAGTGACAAAAATGCTTTCTGGAATATTGTAGCAGAGATTTGAAATTGTTTTACAGGCAAATATGGGTAATCATTTAGCCATTAATTCCTCTAGATGTATTTGTTGAATATTAACTGCATTCAAGAAACCAAGTAAATACTGAACTTATGTTAGTGAATAACAGAATTTTCATAAAATTGAGACCAGTAGAGAGGACACTGTAAAATAAATGAACTTTAATAAATTAGGACATGATTCAACAATAAGTGGAAGTCATGTGACTTGTAAACTGTGGACATGGTGGTGTGGGGGTAGTGCCAGCATAAGTAGGCTGACAATAAATCCATGTGGGGCTGTTGATGTTTGAGAAGAAAACTAAGAAGTTCTTGTTGGCATAGAGAGTGGGATAAAACTTTCAGAGTAGAAACTAAAAATGTCAATGATCCAGAAAATCTCAACAAGTAAATCAGGGAAAGCCAAGGAGACCCATGGACCATGGAAAAGCATCTTGAATTTTTTCTGAAATTGGTAGAATAATTAAAATTTTTCAATAGGAGTAACCATTATGATTCATGTTTGTAAAGATCATTTGTGTTATATGGACAATTTTCAAGGAAATGTGGGCCAAAGGATTATGATAAAGCTAATAACTAAATCAGAGATGATGGTCCATTGTTCCAGGGTGACTGCCTACAGAATAACATATATCTCTATGAAAATATTTTCTTACTAAGCTGTCTCTTCAAAGCATTTTTAATCTCATTACTCTTGAGACTGTAGATGAGAGGGTTCAACATGGGGATCACCACCATGTAGAACACAGACACCACCTTGTTCTGGTCAGTGGAGTAGCTGGACTTTGGCATCACATAAATGAATGTGACAGTTCCGTAGTATATAGTGACTGCAGTGAGGTGGGAGGTGCAGGTGGAGAAGGCCTTCTGGCGGCCCTCAGTGGAACGCATCTTCAGAATGGTGATGAAGATGTAGATGTAGGAGATAGCTATGACTAACAACGTGATAACAGTAACGGTGCCTGCAGAAAATGAGATAACAAATGCAGAGACACTGGCATCAGAACAGCAAAGTTCAACTAAGGGAGCAAAATCACAGAAAAAGTGGTTGACTCTATTTGAGCCACAGAAGATGAAAGAAAAGAAGGAAAAGGTAAAGCAGGAAGCATTAAGAAAACTACCTACATATGATCCTACAATCAACTGGTTACAGACTTGTGTGGACATTTTTGTTGGATAAAGCAATGGGCTACAGATTGCCATAAAGCGATCATAAGCCATGGCAGCCAGAAGGTAGCACTCGACTGTCCCAAAGAAAGCAGCTGAGCCAAGCTGCATGGCACATCCTAGGTAGGAGATGGTATATCTCTCCAGCAGGAAATTGACAAGCATATTGGGTGTGACAGAAGATGAAATGCCAATGTCAGTAGAAGCCAAATGGCTCAGTAAGAAGTACATGGGGTGATGGAGCTGAGGAGAGACTCTGATTAGAAGAATTGTACTGAAGTTTCCAGACAGGGTCACCAGGTAAATGCACAGGATGATGATGAAGAGGATGACTCGAAGGACTGGGTCAAATGTTAAGCCAAGTAAAATGAACTGTGTCACTGAGGTGTGGTTTCCATCCTCCAGGATAGACATGGGAGTGAGTAGCTGTTTCCAGAACAAAGCTGTGATGAAGACATTACAGGAATGGATTTATAAATATGTAGCTACTCTCTTTAACACATCATGGAGGGCATTATAAATGAATACATCATTAAAGAAACATTTCAATGAGCAAATGAGACATACTCTAGCCTATGCATTGAGTCTGTCTTACATTTTTAAAACAAAAATGCTAGAAAAAAATCTACCTGTAATGTGTAACTTTTTCTTACATTTCTTTAGAGTCAAATATACCTAAGTTTTTAAAGCTAGAGATTTAAAACTCTGAGAACCTGGCCTACAGGATAGCTTAGCTGGTAAAGGCAGCTGACAATCCTGACAATCTGTGTTTCATTGCTGGAATCTGCACAATTAGAGGAGGGGATGTTGTCCGTTGACCTCCACATATGTACTGTGGCTCCCACATACCCCATTTCCCTCTGTTCACAAATAAAAAAATGTAAAATGTTTGAGATTTAACAAACTAACAAAGTAGTTATGATAAGTACAATACAGGGTTAAGAA